AGGTTGATCAAAAAATTGAGACTAGAGCTACCAAATGACCCAGCAATCTCTCTTCTGAGTATTAACCCCAAAGATTTGAAAACATTTATCCGTAAAGATATACATATCCCTGTGTTCACTGCAGCATTATTCATGGTAGCCAAGACATAAAAACAACTGGTGTCCTTCTATAGAAGCTGTGGTACATATATACAGTGGAATATTACTCAGCCATAAGAAGAGATGAAATACTATCATTTGCAACAACATGGGTGAACCTTGAAATAATCATACTAAGCGAAATAAGCCAGACAGAAAAGGTTGAAAATCACATATCACTTATATGTGGGATATAAACCTAAAAGCAACAAATGAACATGACAAGCAAACAAAGACTGATGGACATGGACAATGGACTAGATGTTACCAGAAGGGAGGGGGAAAGGAGGAGGGTGAAAATTAAAAATTAAAAGTTAAAAATAAATTAATCAATGAATAAAAATAAAATAGAAAAAGAAAAAGTGTTCAGTGAACTTAGAGAAAGAATAGATGAAATCAGTGAGAACTTATACAAAGAAACACAAAACATAAAGAAAAAGACAGTCAGAAATGAAGAATGCAATAATTGAAATAAAGACTACATTAGAGGGATTCAACAGTAGATTAGATGAAACAGAGGACTGAATCCGTGATTTGGAAGACAAGGTAAGAGAAAACATCCAATCAGAACAGGAAAAAAAAAGAGATAGTTTAAGGGGCCTCTGGGACAACATCAAGCACATCGATACTTGCATCATAGAAATCCCAGAAGGAGAAGAGAGAGAACAAGGGATTGAAGACCTATTTGAAGAAATAATGACTGAAAACTTTCCTAACTGGTGAGAAAATAGACATACAAGTCTATTGTATGTCAAAATAGAAAATACAAGTCTAAGAAGTGCAGAGAGTCCCAAACAAGAAGAAGCCAAAGAGACCCACACCAAGAAACACCAAAAAGAGTTCTTCGCCACAAACCAGTATTATAAGAAATGTTAAAAAGAGTTCTTTAAGAAGAAGAAGAAGAAAAAGAAAAAGATTAAAAATGTGAATAATAAAATAGCAATAACTACATACCTATCAATAATCACTTTAAATGTAAATGGTTAAATGCTCCAATCAAAAAATGTAGGGTAACTGAATGGAGGAGAAAATAAGAACCATACATATGCTGCCTACAAAATACCTACTTCAGATCGAAAGACACATACAGATTAAAGTTAAGGAATGGAAAACGATATTTCATGCAAATGAAAATAAAAAAAGCTGGGGTAGCAATATTTGTATTAGACAAAATAGACTTTAAAACAAAGGCTATAAGAAACAAAATAAAGCCTTTCGTAATGATAAAGGATCAATCCAACAAGAGGATCTAAGTCTGTTAAACATATATGCACCCAATGTAAGAGCACTTAAATATATAAAGCAAATATTGATGAATAAAAGGAGAAATTGACAATAATACAGTCATATAGGGAAATTTAACACTCCACTAACATCATGGGAGTGATCAAATAGACAGAAAATCAACCAGAAACAGCAGCCTTAAATGACACATTGCATTTAATTGTTTTTTTTTTAAAACATTTTACCCCAAAGCAGCAAAATATACATGTTAGACCACAGAAGAAGTCTCAATAAATTTAAGAAGATTGAAATTATATTAAGCATCTTTTCTGATCACAATAGTATGAAACTAGAAACTAATTACAAGAAGAAAATTAAAAAAACACATACACAAATACCATGCTACTGAATAATAATTGGGTTAAAAATGAAATCAAAAGATACTTTGAGAGAAATAAAAATGAAAACACAATGACCCCAAATCTACGAGACACAGCCAAAGCAGTTCTAAGTGGGAAATTCATAGCAATACAGGCCTACCTAAAAAAACAAGAATGATCTTAAATAAACAATCTAACCTTCCACTTAAAATAACTAGAAAAAAACAACAAACAAAGCCCAAAGGGAATAGAAGAAAGGAAATAATAAAAATTGGAATGGAAATAAACAAAATAGAATCTAAAAAATTAAACATTAAAGATCAATGAAATCAAGAGTTGATTCTTTGAAAGATTTTTTTAAAATCTGGTAAACCTTTTACCAGACTCATCAAGAAAAAAAGAGAGAGGCTCCAAATAAATAAAATTACAAATGAAAAAGAAGTGACAACTGACACCATTGAAATACAAAGGAGTATAAGAAAATACTATGAACAATTGTATGCCAACAAATTGGACAACCTGGAAGAAATGTATAAATCATATGATCATATCAATAGATGCAAAAGAAAAGCATTTTAAAAATCTAGCATTTACTTATGATAGAAACTCTCAGTAAAGTGGAAATAAAGGGAACATACCTCAACATAATAAAGGCCATGTAAAACAAACCTATAACTAACATCATACTCAATGATGAAAAACTAAAAGTGTTTTTCTTAAGATCAGGAACAAGACAAAGATGTCCACTTTTACCACCTCAGTTCAAGACAGTATTGGAAGTTCTATCTACAGCCATCAGACAAAAAAGAAAGAAAGAGAGAGAGAGAGAGAGAGAGAAAGAAAAGAAAGAAAGAAAGAAAAGGCATTCAAATTTGAAAGGAGAAAGTAAAACTATCATCATTTTCATCAGATATTTGCTTCCTAGGGACATATGAGTTGACATTTCTATTCTAGAGCCTACTTTGAAAGAGCAAAGCAGGGAAGCCAGGGAATCCTGTTATTCCCATTGAGATGTCTGTCATGTCATTCAATGTTGATTATAAGAGCCTGTTCAGACTCTAGACTGTTTCTAGCATCCATCTGTGCTGGAGATGCTAATAGGGAGTTAAAGCAAATTAAACACATTGATTTTTATTGGGACATACATTTGTTTACTAGAAATTTCCTGAGTTTCATAGTTTAAATTTACCTGAATCTATTGCTTCACCTAAGCAATTTTGAAAGATTTTCCATAAGTATACTACTAGTAGCTACTGGGGGATATCTGTGTCAGTTGGTTAAGAAAACACAAACACACACATAGTGTATTTTAATTTTTCAATTCTTCATCAGGGAACAGTGCTAAATTAAGCAACTAATTTAATCTTCCAAAGGCATTCATCAAAGAAGCATCTTGGGTCACATAAAAATCTGGCTGTACCTCAGACCAACTAAGTGACTCTAGGGGTAGAATTCCAAGTCCAAACTTGTAGATGATGTCAATGTGCAGCCAAGGTGTGGAACCACTGCTGCAAAGAATGTCTACCAGACCTTTGGTAAAGCTCTTCTTAGTTAATAAATCACACGTTCTCATTTAGTCACAGGTGACTCATCTATAAAATAAGACTAATAATAACCTGGCTAGTTATAAAAACCACAAAGTGCTATGCAATTATGAATAAACAATGGCAATGATGGTGATGAGGAGAAAGATACTGGTGGAAATGTAGGAAC